GGAGGCCATCGCTACTAGGTTGGAGGCCATCGCTGTTAATTAGGTTGAAGGCCATCGCTCTTAGGTTGGAGGCCATGGCTATTAGGTTAGAGGCCATAGCAACAGGATTTGCTGGAATAGCAGGGGCTGGCTCGCAGGCTCCCCAGCACTGCAGGGAGGTCATTGTTTTCTTGTGTGGTTCGCCTTATTCTCTGCAATTGGTGGTCACCTTCAAGATCGATGTTGTCCGAAGGCTCAACAAGTTCAAAGCCGGCAGCGTGAAAAATACTATATACGAAATCATGATTGAACTTGGTCTCTTTGTTCTTTGTAGAATCTTTGTCTCGTCGTGTCTTGGTACTATAGCAAGCATAACATGAGACAGAGCTGGACACACCTGTTCCGATGGGATCACATCTGAAACCTCGACTCTGCTGCTGCCTTTCTCTTCTTCTTCACTCACAGCTCCACCAAAAATGCTCCAAAAAGCTCCAAAAATGCTCCTACTCCCCTCAGCTCATCAGCTCCTCCGCTCCTTCCATCGGAATCCATCGTTTCTCCCGTCACTCTCGGCGTCCCTAGGCGTCCCCGTCCCCACGGTGCAGGGCCGACAGAAGCACGTGCGCCGTGGAGAAGCTCTCACGATCCACCTCCTGCACGGACACGACGGCGGCCCCCCGGATGGGCCCCACCAAAATGGCAGAAAGACCAAACGGATTTGTACCTGGACCCTGCAGAAAGCACCGAAAATGGGATGGTGGCCACCAAAGAAACAGGTAGTCTCACTGCCCATCTTGCCACGGTACTTTTAACTTTTTACTGAGACTCCAGGTAGTTCATTCACGCTCGACTCCAGGTGCCAAAGATGGGAGTGTGGTCTTTCAATGAAACATTGGTTGAAACGTGTGGCGCGTCAATTGTTGATTTAAGTTCGGTCATGGACCTCTGAGGTCCTTGAGGGGATTGGGTGCCATCAAAGTGTGGAGAGCTGCGCGAGAAATGTGCGAGTGTTGCTTTCCATTGCACATGACGTGGAAGTTCATAGGTGTGCCAAAGTCTAAGCCGAAGGTGAGAACTTCTGCAGCCGGCGGTACACAAGACACAAGAAAAAAAACATGTGGGTTGCGCGACCGCTTTGGACAAAGTCCTCAACAATTTGGAGCAAGGGCTTCACATCCACACCCCACGCCAAGCCCATCCAGTGACTTCCGACGAGCCGGCCCTCCCATCCACCTCCCCTGGCGCTCTTTCCACTGAAGTCATTCTCGGCCCCAGCCTGTCGATAGCCCCAGCCGCGCGTGAACTCCCTGAGGGCCTGCCGCACGGGGCGCCGTACGTGGCGGGACAGGCCCATCTCCTGACGTGCCTATAGGCGTGTCGAATGGGAGAGTCATTCTCCGAAGAAAGGGTGGAGGCCATCGCTTCTAGGTTCTAGTGTGGGGTCAGCCACCTCAGGAACTCATTCTCAGCTCTTGGCCGTTCTGATGTATTCTGTCTGCAGAAACCGTCTTTGTTTGCAGATGGACTGTCACACTCCCTCAGTGGGGGCAATCCATAGACACACTCGGCTTCTTGAATCAAGCTAGGATTCAATTTCTTCAAGCAGGGAATGCAATCAGCAAGGCCCTTAGATAATTCATGATGATTCTGAAGAAGGTTAGGGTACTCTGCCAACCAAGTTTCAGTGAAAAAGTTCAGGAAAATGGGACACATGGAAATGAAAGTCAAGAAGAGTCCTATGAGCCCAATCCAATCCAAAGTCCAAACTCCAAGTTCCCCTCCATCATTTACTAGTGGACCTTCCGTGGTTCATGGTTTCAATTTCATCTTAACTGTCTTAACTTAGTGGAATGTCCAATTAGATCATGATGCAACTAGATGAATCCACGCAAAAGAGCGGGCGCCTGGGAAACCTCGCGCTGCACCGGTTTCCACACCGCATCCATCCGTGCTCCAAAAGAGAAAAAAACAAAATGAAACACCACTCCCAGCATCGAGTAAAGGCGAACCAAAAAAAATTATCCCGGCAAGAGACCCCAAACAGTGTGGAGTGTATATCAAACGCACTTTTGGGTAAAGGGAGGCGCGCAGGGGGGGTCGGAAGTAGAGAGAGAGAGAGAGTAGCACCCGCAAGCACGAAGTAGTAGGAAGTAGAAGGGTAGGTTTGAACCCGGATAGAGTAGGAGGAAGTGGTAGTAGGAGGAGGTGAAGCACCTGCGAGCACCCAGGTGCGCTGGCAAAAATCAGCTCAGAAAAATAGCGGAAATATTCACGTTCCGCACTAGGATGTCCAGCTAGCAAAATGCCAAGCGTGACAACAGCCACGAGCACTCAGTCACAAAGACCGAAGTTCAAATTATTGTATGATGACATAGTGACTCGTGATATGTGTGCTACAAGACATGTTGAAGATTACTGTTTGCTGTTGTCCTGTCATGCACTGCTGTTTGCTGTCCCGTGTCAGACCGTGTCAAACGACTTCAAATTTAGAAAGAAGTAAACGGCCGCAAATGAAAAACACAGCAATTGAAAAAGAAAATGTTTATGCAATTAGAAATTACCACAAACAGTGTAGAAGTCGATCTCGGTAAACCTCTCAGTCTAGATCTCCAGAAACCAAGGTTTGCAAGAAGTACCTGGGTGTAACCACGCCAGGTGCAACAGAGAAAGGAATCGCTGGGTGTAACCACGCCAGGTCACTCTAGAAACAAGACTCTAGAGAAGACAGGGGTCTATATAGATGTCGGGACAGCGGTTCAGAGAGCACAGACCTGCAAGCTAGACGTTCAGAGGTCTACAGAGATCCAGAGATCACACATCTGAGAGCACAGCCACCAGAACACGCAGCAAGTGAGCGAATGAGTGAGCGAGTGAGAATGGGTGAGAGTGTGACAGTGAGTGCGAGCGTGAGTGAAAGGAAGAATGCATGTGAATGAGAGTGAGTGTGGGCAATAGAGCACACATCTGAGAACACAGTCACCAGAGCACGCATCAAATTGGTGAATGAGTGAGTGAGTGAGTGAGTGAGCATGAGTGTGAGCATTGCCCACGCACCTGGGTGGAACCACGCCAGGTGCACGGAAGAAGAGAATCGCTGCTGAGTGAAACCGCGCCAGGTCACTCTAGAAATTCACAGAGCTCTAGATGCCGGGAAAGCAGTTTAGAGAGCACAGACCTGCAAGCTAGACGCTCAGAGGTCCACAAAGATCCAGAAGGAGCACACATCTGAGAGCAAAGTCACCAGAGCACGCCTCAAGAGACCGAATTCACAAAGTGCTGTGCCTGTCACGAAATCTGCACGTCGAGGTTCATAAAGCGCTGTGCCTGTCCCGAACTCTCTGCGCGTTGAAGCGCACTGCCACGAAAGCAGCACGTCGAGGTTCACAAAGTGCTGTACCTGTCACGACATCTGCACATCGAGGTTCACAAAGTGCTGTGCCTGTCACGAACTCTGCGCGTCGAAGTTCACAAAGTGCTGTGCCTGCCACGAAGTCTTGGCGTTGAGTCGCTGAGGTTTACAAAGTGCTGTGCCTGCCACGAAATCAGCACATCGAGGTTCACACAGTGCTGTGCCTGCCACGAAATCTGCACGTCGAGGTTCACAAAGTGCTGCACCCCTCACGAAATCTGCAAAGGAACCACATGTTTAAAAGTGCCGGCTCACTGAACCTGTCACGAAGTCAGAGCACCTCGAAGATCACGACCATGTCCAAAGTGCTGCACCTACCACGAAACTACACTTCGAAGCCAAGCCGCTCGGATCCCTTGCACCTCTCACGAAAAGTCGACGAGGATTCCCTTGCGGTTGCGCCTGCCGCGAAAAGTCACCATCATGTGCGAAAATGAGCACGGCACCACAACGAGAGCGCAGTCACTAGAAGCACCCGCCGCCGGCCCCCAGATTCTGCGAGCCTGCGCAGTCGAAATGCACATTGACGATGTCGAGAGGCATGAATGTACTGTAAATAGCAGCGAATTAGCTGGACACGGCCGCGCGCTTCAGCGATCTAAGCATCAGCTGCTTTTCCCTTACCGTAAGAACCCCTAAGTGTGTCCACACTGTTTGGGGAACTACAGTCTTCCAGTTCGCGCACACGTTTGCGGAAATGGATGCTCCTTCTTACATCGCATAGGTACAGTATGTAAGCAGTTAGGCCAAACATCCTCAAAAGAAGGCAGTTCCTTACTCTCCATGGCTCATGTAGCTGATTTTCAGGCCCTTTCAACCTCCCAGGGTCGCAAAAGGTTAACATCATTCAGTAGATCAAATGTCAACAGCTGCATCCGGCACCATGGTCTACTTTCAGTCATGCCTGTGGCAGCAAACGAGTCAATTGCTCAAAGGACCCCTGAAGATGGACTCCATGTTCAGAGGGTTGCCTCTACAATCTTCTTTTTGGTTTGTTGGACTGGTTTGTAGAAGCAAATCCTACAAACCTCTACAACCTGGATGTGGCTCACAGTCCACTCCAGTAGCAGCCCGGAGAACCCACGGTCCGCGCGCCTCCTCGGCCGAAAAACCCGCCTGGGGAGAGGAGGCCACGGGATCGTCGCCGAGCCTTTGGTGAAACCTGAAACCTCCTAAAGATTGGGGTGGTTTCAGGGTTCAGGGATGGGTCCAAACTCGTAGCCCAACCAGTCCAAACTTGGAGCCCAACCAGTCCACCATGGAGCGAACAACACGAGGTCGGTGCCAGCAAGGTCTCCTGGTTTTACAGGTTTGAACCCAACAGCCACGACCTGAGTCTGGGTCCCACATCAACAGCGAGTCGCGTTTTCCACACTACCTGTGGTAACCGCCGAGGTTTCAGGCTGTGATCGGACACCCAGGTCACCGCGGGTTTACCCCGCGCCCGCGGAGAGACCGCGGTCTCCGTTCGCCGGTTCACTGGCCACGCGATCGATCCGAAACCGGCTCTAAGACCACCTGTCTGGGATGAACTCGAGGTCGACCGAAAACGAAACATGTCTTTTTGGTCAGTCCCAAACAGGTCGTGTCTGTGAAATACATTGGTAACCCCGGTAGAATGGATGGGGGTATGCAAATCAGCAAGGGCAAAGTTTGCATCTCTCCCCGAATTCACGTCATGGATTCACGGTCGCCTTCATCAGGCCTTGCTTGGCGAAGCCCAGGGTGGACTTTCATGGGACCTGCCCTACTAGAGATACCCTCCCTCCAATGTACAGTAGGCTTTGGTATATCTAGTTTTGGGAGATACCTACTAGACTTAGACTTTACAATGTAGCCTTTTTCATTAACCTCCCCCTTAGGATGGTAAAACCCCTCATATGGGGGGGTGTTATTCTTACAATGCATGAAAAGACATCGGGACCCCCGACACGGTCAGATTCTCATCCTCAACGGTCAGAGACCAACACCGTGGATGTCCTTCACCGTGGACTCCACATTTATATAAGAAACAAAACGACACTCCATTCATTGATTCCCTGGCTCTCTTCAGAGTCACGTTCTTCCGCTCTTCCCATGTGGTCACCTTCACGCTGGGCAACTCCAAGACTGCCAGACGCCTCGTGTTCAACCCACCGGGCTTTCGGAGGACGGCGAGGACGGCGATGCGCCACGCGTCATGATCAAGATCAAGATGTCGATGCTTGCACATCAGGTAGGGAAGGTTCTATGGAAAAGCCTCATGAGGCCACGTTCTCCAACCATTGGGTTCCGGCAGTTGTGGAGATGAGTTGAGCCTCAACAAGACTCGGAGGTGAAGATGATTGGTTCCCAACAGTGATATCCAAGAGCCCGGCTCGCGGGGCGCGCGACTCGCGGGTTTCGCGGGGCACTTGGGGCAGGTGACGAGAGTCACCTCTGCGATGAACATTCGTCTCAAAATCACCTTCTTAACATGGGAGATTCTGTGAATCCCATGGAGCAATTCAAGGATCTCTGTGGTGATTGAAGCCGTCAACATCAGAACTCCTGTTGCTGACGTGCTTGGCGGCCGAAGCTCAATCCTCCGTTGTTCCGATTTATCTTCACGCGTACCAAACATCGTCTTCTGCTGACAGGCTCTATAGCTCCATGCATTGATGTTCAGGCGAGTGATAACAACTAATTACTAGTCTTGACAGACAAGAGATAAAAATGAGTGCCGAAGAGAGCACATGGAAGATGAACTAACACCTAGACTATAAAGGTGACAATGTGTACTATAGATGTACATAGGGACTTGGGTACTGGAGGCCCTCTTCTTCCCTTTGCAGCACTGAGAGTGATGCCCCTTTTGATCCGGCTTGTTCAAATGTGAATCAGGAACTTGTCACGCCAAGGTTGCCAGATCTGGACCGTCCAACAAAAGGGGTGTGTTCCCCTTGTATCTCGCTGTTCAAATCACATAAACCATGTACAATGTAGAACAAACTAGTACAATCGATTATATGCCCTCCATCCAACAAACATTTGGAGGGAGGGCAAATCAAGCTCCCAGAAGATCTCAGGCCCACTCTATGCGCCAAAATCTATTTGCTAAATCAAAGAACGTGATTGCTTTGGTGAGTATGTGATTGCTTTTCGGTGGTGTAGTGTAGTATCGTCTCGTGTGTGTTTGGGTCTCGTGCACGAGGGTTTGTTGTAGATCGTTTTTTCGGCAAAAAAAAGACCTGCGTTTTGAGATCCCATGGAGTCTATCTGTTTACTTGTGTCTACGAGCAAGGACGCTACTAGTAGCTCCTGGCATTACTACTAGGAACAAGAAGCTACTAGTAGCAAATCGCTACTAGGAGCAAGGACGCTACTAGTAGCTCCTGGGATTACTACTAGGAACAAGAAGCTACTAGTAGCAAATGGCTACTAGGAGCAAGGACGCTACTAGTAGCTCCTGGCATTGCTACTAGGAACAAGATGCTACTAGTAGCAAATCGCTACTAGGAGCAAGGACGCTACTGGTAGCTCCTGGGATTACTACTAGGAACAAGAAGCTACTAGTAGCAAA